TCTCTGTTGCATTTGACACTACTTACCCCTGTCTCTTCCTAGATATGCTCTCCTCTCACCTTTTTATTTGCTTTGAGGGGGTGCTCAAGACCTCTTCCATTACAGCATTATTTCTCATTGAATTCCATCAGTGGAGTCAAATTAAGAAAATGACTAAAGAGAAATGACTGAGGATCAGTTTGGTAGTGTTTTAAAGCCACCCATGATTCTGGCTACTTAGCCAATTGAGAAGTCTTCTCTTAACCATGTGATTAGCAGAATGGAACCAGTTATAGAATGTCTATGTATGCCCAAATCTCTGCAAGATATTTCCATTATATGCCATCACTACTCTCATGGAAACAGGCTTTTCCATGTAGGAAGGAGCATCAGAGTTGTGTTGTACATGTGCCAGACTCACCACATGAAGAAAGTACCACAATTCCTCTAGGACATTAAACTCACAACCTCAGCATCATCTTGTCATTTTTCTCATTTTCTCTTTCCCTCTCTCCCTCTCCCTCTCCCTCTCTCTCTCTCTCTCTCTCTCTCTCTCTCTCTCTCTCTCTCTCTCTCTCTCTCTTTCCAAACACACACACACACACACACACACACACACACACACACATATATATATATTCTTAAAATAATATTGCTGTTACTGTATATGATGTTCTCTTGGTTCTGCTCACTTCACTCTTCATTATTTTGTGCAAGTCTTTCCATGTTTTTCTAAGCTCACATTGTAGGTGTTTAATAAATGCTTATTAATAGATTGATTGATTCTCCTAACAATAGAATCTGAGCTGTATTATTTGCTATGTATTCATGAAATCATATAGTTTTAGAGTTGGGAGGAACCTTAGAGGTCATCTAACTTAAGTTACTCATTTTTCAGATTAGGAAATTCAGGCCCAAGAAAAGTTAAGTGATTGCCCAATATAGTAAGTGACAAAGCTAAGTTTTCAACTCAGCACTTCTGACACCAAATGCATCGTTCTTTTTGTGCCACAACATTCTAACATTATTTCCAGAGTTTCTCTGGATTCAAATTTCTTCTCCTCACCAGTTTCTTTGCATTATTTGTTTTTATAATTTCTCTTATAGTACAATAATAGTCTATTACATCCATATATCTTAATTTGTTCAGTAACTCCCTAATCAACAGAAGCTTACGTTTTTTCTCATCTTTTGCTACCCTAAAAAGTGCTGCTTTGAGCATTTTTGTATATAAGGGTATGGGGTCCTGATTGGTGAAAGCCATAACAAGGCTGCAGTGACCAGTATGAGACCATGTGTGTCTGGACATATACTGAAAGTCACTAGCCTTGATGCCCAGAGTTCTGGACTCAAGCCCAGTGCTGAGCAGTAAATCAAAACTTTAGCTAAACCACAAGGACCTATGTAATTCAGTTTGGCTGGAATGTAGAGTGTATAGAGGGGACTAATGTGAAATACAACAGGAAAAGATGTTAGAACCAAATTGCAAAAGGCCTTAAATGTTAGGCTTAGGAGCTCACAGAGGTAATTGGGAGATGCTGAAAAGTTTTGAGCAGAGGAGGTTATATCAGCACCTTGGGAATATTTATTTGGCATTCCTGAGGGAAAAGAGGTATGGTGACCACAATTTGGAAGCTTTTATAATAATGGTGCTTGTATGGGTAGAGAAAAGGACCTATGAGAGATTATGTGGAGATAGAATCAAACAGTCAGCAACTGATTGGATATAGGGGATCAGGAAGAGCTATCAAGGATGATTATGAGGTTATATGCCTAGATAACTGGAGGTATTGGCTTCAACAGAAATAGGCAAGTTTGGAGGAAGAAAGATGATGGATGTGTGGAGACATGGGGAAGGAAGGAGAAAGACTTTGGGTGTGTGGATATATAGGAAGGACATCAGGTAGAGATATCTGACAGGCAATTGGTGGTATGGACATGAAAGTTGAAACCCCACACCTAATCACTTGTAAGGTCATAATAATTCAACAACAACAACAATAATATTTTATAACATAATAGATTAGACTTTTAAGGTATACAGATTGCTTTCCTCACAAGATATTTTGTGACTAAAGCAGTGCAATTATTATTGCCCTCATTTTAGATGGGGAAACTGAGGTTCAGAGAGGTGAATGGACTTGCTCAGTGTTCTATAGCCAGTATCAGAACTCAAACCCAAGTTTTCTAACTCCAAGGCTTGACTTTTCTCTCCTCTTCACAGCCAAAAGGGATCTCTTCCTCCTTCAGTTTCCTCCAACAAGTCTGTCTGTCTCCTTTTCCATCTGTCTCTGTCTCTGTCTCTCTCTCTGTGAGCATGTGTATGTGTATGTCTGTCTGTCTCTCTCCATTTTTGTCCGTCTTTGTCTTTGTGTGACTGTATGTCTGCCTGCCTCTCTGTCTCTCTCTTCTCTCTCTTTCCCATATTTATGTATATTTATTTTACTCCTAAAAAACTGTAAACTATTAGAACAAGGTCTGTGTGTTATCCTTGTGATCAACACAATACTTCATACTTAGCAGAGGTTTAATAAGTATTTCTTTAAGAAAATTGAATTCTCTCCCTCTTCAGTTTTTCTTCTCCAGATCATAACCTAATATTGTTTCAGTGGTTAGAAACAAAATACGAGTCTGCTGTTGTTCATTATTGTTTATTTGTTGTTGCTGTCATCCCTCCATTGGTATTGATAATAAAAATTAGCCCGCTTCAAAGATAAGTAATTTGGGGTTCAAAAACTCCTACCCACTATATTTCCTATTTAAATTATTTTTATTTAAAGTAGAGCACCAATGAATTCTGTCACATTCCACAACTTTTAAAGAAATAGATATAGTAGGGCATGAAGGAGCTTGTCTGCCCTTCTTTTAGGTGTCTTGGATACCTGGTTCCCCTCCTAGAATCTGTAGCCCCAAATTTAGTCTTAAGCCCAATACAGAGCTTATTTTTATTGTGGCTTTTTTCAGAATTATTATTACAAATTATTATTTCAAGAGCAGGTTTTTAAAACATGGCACAAATTAACTCTACCAGGAAGGTAAAAGGCCCAAGGAAGATAGGTTCTCTGGGATCCTACTCCCTCAGCTGTCCCGTGACTTCAGTTTCCAGGTTATTGTCAAAGGCAAAGCCAATTCTAAAACTGAGTGTTGGCTGTGATGTCCTAGTTTTCTGGAGGATTGGGGTGTATGTGAGGGGCTCTGAGTGACTACCACCTTGGGAGAGGGAGAATCATTTTCAGATAAAGAATCTGATAAGATGCTACTGAGGAATGAGATGTCCAGGTGTCTGGAGTTTGGGGGGAGGGGATGACACCAGCAGTTATGCAATTTTCTAAGTGGTCTTTGGGAGGGGCAGGTGATTTGGGAAATTGTTGGAGTTCCCATTTCATTCTTGGGTCAGCTCCTGCAGGATCCCAGAATTCTGACCTGTCGGTGAATGATCATGATGAATGGTCTAAGGGGTGGGCAGAGTTTTGAGGCTTCTCTGAGAGGGTAAAGGTCTGTCGCCTTGTGGTAAGAGGTATTGGTAAGAGTGGCTGCTGTGTAGTTTCATTTCCATCTCAAGTGGTGAGCAAGGCTCCTGGCTGCTGTATCATGATCCCCAGGTTTGTTTGAGTAAGGAGGGGGAGGCCAGCTGTACTGAGAGGCTGCATGCCCCAGACCCATACCTTTCCCCCATCTCCTTTCTCATTGGAGAATAAGCCAAGTGTAGCTGAGGAGTTCCACACACAGCCCCACTCCATTGATAGCTTCTCCAGGACCTAGCAAAAGTCATGGAAGCCACTGAGGATTCTTACAGCTGCTACTGTAGCCATCCCCAGGTTCCAAACCAAAAACTTCAAGGCCGTCAGATTATGGAGGGTCTTCCTCTTTCAGCCACCAGAATTTGGTTAAGGTCTAGGTCATGGTTGTTGGTGATGATGTCTCTGTCTCAGGTTGGGTAGCTATCCAAGTGACTGCAGGTTCCAAAATCCTTGGAGTTCTGAGTTGTCCTCCAAATTGACTGCCTCCCTGAGGCCAAATATTTGCAAGGGATCAAGCCCATACAGCTCCATAGCATTTCTGTGGTAGTCTCACTCAGTATGAAAGATATTGAATTCCTAAGTGGAAATTAATGAGGGAGTCCCATAGACTTTCTCTTTTTTTTAAATACAATTTTATTTTGCTATTCCAAATTTGACAGATTTTGACAAACATGAACATATATGCAAAGAAAAAAAGAGAGAAAGAATCAAATATGAAATCACAAATCTCCTTTACAGAGTTTGCATTTCTTTCCAAAATGATAATACATTCAACATAATTTCAAAGCTGTCCTGATTGTCCATGACTCTCTCCAAGCCTCCTTCTGTTTTCTTCTATGAATATTTTAAACTTTTTAATATATTTTGAAGGGCATCACTATTGCTCATCTCCCATCTCCCCCCACCAATATCCCACATTAAAATAAAAATAATCAGCATATGTTTGCCACTTTAATGTTTGCAAAGCACTTTACATGTGTTAACTCATTTTATCCTCAAAACAACCCTACAAGATAGGAGGTTAAGTGATTTGCCCAGTAAGTATCTGAGGCAGGAATGGAACTCAGATCTTCCTGACTCCAAGTCCCTTGCTAACCACTGTACCATTCTCCACAAGATACATTACTTTTGGACTTCTTTGGAACTGCCCATGATGCTCTTCTCCTGCCCCTCCACCCCCATTTTCAGTTTGTGTGTGTGTGTGTGTGTGTGTGTGTGTGTGTGTGTGTGTTGTCTTCTCCCATTGTTTTTTAAGCTCCTTGAATATAGGGACTATTTTTGTTTTTATTGTAATTTTATCCCTAGCACTTAGCACTATGCCTGGCACATAGCAGGCCCTTAAAAATGTTTATTGACTGCCTTGACCACCTAGATGTCTGGTGGGGAGAGAAGGAAAAGTGGAGGAGAAGGAACTTATAACAAACAAGCATAGTTAAGTAAAACAAGCCCATATATTGGGTCTGTAAATGTATGACTCAATCCATACCTTAAGTCCCTCACCTGTCTGTCAGATGTGAGTAGAATGCTTCATCAGCTGTCCTCTGGAGCCAAGGTTGGTCTTTGCAATGCTCAGAGTTCTTTGGGCTCACAAACAGCCACACAGTCTTTCTAGCCATAAGCTAGGGAGGGATCTCTGATAGAGATGAAGACTTCAATAACCAGGAAGTACAGTAAAGAAAAAAATAAATTAATTTTTGAGGAGTGGCTCTGCTCTGTGTTCCAGTCATTAGACATTTCCATTTGCGTACCAACCCCCACACTCAACTCAAACTCCACATGTCTAAAATAGACCTCTTCTCCTCAGATACATAACATTCACTAGCTGTGTGACTCTGGGCAAGTCACTTAATCCCAATTGCCTCACCAAAAAAAAAAATAGACTTCTTCTGACTTCCTTATTTCTATCAGTGGTCTCATTTACCATCCCTACTATTTTCTAAATCTAAATTCTCCCCTTGGGCTCTTGTATATATAGTATATTGCATCTCCCTATTACATTAAAAACCCCCTGAGGGCAGAAACTGTCTTAATATTTGTGTTTTTATCCCTAGTACTTAACACAGAGGTTGGCGTGTAATAAATGCTTAACAAGTGCTTTTTTTATTCATTCATTCATTTCACTCATTTATTCGTTCAAGGGTACCATCATGAAAGCCTCCAGTCACTAAGGTTCACAACATCAGAGTCATACTTGACTCCTCACTCTTATTCACTCCACTTTACCATTTGGTTGCCAACTCTTTTCAATTCTACCTCCACAACATCTCTTACATCCCTCCCCCTCATCTCCACCGAAAGAACCACCACCTGAGTCTAAGCCTTCATCATCTCTCATCTGGCAATAACCACCTTATTTAGTCCCCCTTATGTCAAGTCTCTCCACCCTGCAATTAGGCATCCACATCCCTACAAAAGTTGTTTCCTTAAAGCATAAGTCTAGCTATGATACTTCCCTGCTCAATAAGCTCCAATGGCTCCTTATTTTGAATGAATGAATTAAAAATATTTATTAGGTCCTTACAATGTGCCAGATAGTGTGCTAAGCAAAAAGAATAAAAGATGCAAAAAAATAAAAGTTAAATAATTTACATTCTGAAAAAGGGGGACATGATACACACAGGGGAATGGTAGCCCTCAAAAAGGGTATTTTGGTCAAGAAGCATTATCTCTGGGATCAACTACACACTTCTCTATTTGTTTTTTTAAAGTCTGACACAACCTGCCTCCAACCTACTTTCAAATCTTGTTGCACATTACTCACTGTCATACATTTTTCAGGTCAGCAATACATTGTTCCTCACACGTTATATTCCATCTCTGACCTCTAAGCCTTTGCATAGGCTGCCCTCCTATGACTGAAATTTACATCCTCCTCCTCACCTCTACCTCTTAAAATCCATAGTTTCCTTTGGAGTTCAGCCCAAGTGCCTCCTTCTATTTGAATCCTTTCCTGAAACACACACGTACCCACATATATGTCTATGTGTATACACATATATATACATACATGCATATGTATGTATGTGTGTATATATATACATACATATGCATGTATGTATGAGTATATGTGTGTAATATGTATATTGTATGTGTGTATGTATTGCATTCTCCAAGAGAACATAAGTTTTTTGATAGTAGGACTCTTTTATTTGTCTTTTTATACCTAGTACCTAGAAAAGTTCCTGAAATATAGTAGTTCCTTAAATGCTGGTTGATTGATCCCAAAGACTTCTCACATGGAGAAAAAAATTCCTTCTAGAGAAGAAAGTCCCTTCTAGCCAAGGCTCTGAAAGAAACAGACTGACAAATCCTAATGGGAAAAAGTTGAGGTGGGGGGAGGAGGGAGAAAGCTGGGAAAGATTTTCTTTTTTTCTTTAGGAAGGTTTCTCCCCATCTCCTGCACTTAGTATTATGAATGCATGTGATAGGATTCTGCCTTTTTCTAAAAGATCCATAGCAAGGAATGCCTTAGGTCTTTAGTGTAAAAGAGTGATGGCAGAACACATTCAACCCCCATGAGAAACAGCACACCAGCTAAGGATTCTAGCAGCCAGAAACTCAAGGAAAAAGGAGCTCTCTATATATGCACCATAGAGTTGCTTGTGTCTGCAACCAGTAGTAACCATAGAACCAATAAAGAAGTGTGTAATAGCTGCCATGCTACAATCAGTAGGATGTAATACTGAGAAGACACTCTCCATTTCACAGAGATAATACATATGGTGGAGATTACACCCCCCACAAGATCAGGGAGGAGCAGGTCCAGTGGGACCAGTATAATATCAGCAATGGACACTGCAGGTCCTGCAGTACCAGGGGCATGAGATACTCCTCCATACATGTGCTCTAGCCAAAAATATTCCTTATGTGTGTGTTTGTTTATGTCTGTACCCTGGCCAAGTGTGTTCCTAATGTGTGAGCCCCTCCACACATGTACTCTGGCCAAATATATTCCCTGCATATATGTCCTTCCACATGTGTACACTAGTCACATGGGTTGCCTGTGTAAAAATCAACATGAATGTTCTGGCCATATAGGGTTCCATATGTGTTTCAATATATCCTACTGATGGTATGTGTACGTGAAGGTAATATGTTCCAGACTTAAGAGGAAAACATGTTCTTCTTACTTGGCTATTTCTTCAATTGCCTATGCTTTGAACAAATTGTTCTCTGGCTAACTATTGAACATAAACATATCAGAGGGGGCTTCGGAGCTATGCATTGATATGGATGCAGCTGAACAATATACCATGAATGTAGGTAGGCTATTACCATGAGATTCAAGGATAGGTAGATGGTCCCAGATTTTATACTCAAAGACATCATTTGACACATTTTTAGCTTTCATCTGGATGGACTAATTTTGAAGAGGTTCATTAACCATAATAACCAAATTCTTTAAGGAAAAAAAAATCAAACCATGCAGCCATCTCTACTACCTAACAAAAAATATTACATGTTTTAAAGCCTCAAGACATCATTGCTGCTTATCTATTCATAAGTGCTATTCCATTTTTATGCCTAAATAAATAACCTCAGCATATGTTCCTTTCTCTATCCCTAGGTAAAAGGTGAAAAATAAAGAATTTTGCAAAACTTACCAGTTTCTTACTCTGTGTTCCCTTGCATCGAGGCATGTAAATGATGCTGCAACACCATCACCCAAAGAATAGTGGTGGTAAGTCCAGCCCTTAATTAGAGTCAAAGGACTTGTCTTCAAGTCCCATGCTCTGCTGCTTATTAGCTTTGTGACTTTGTGCAAGTCAAAGTAACCTGACCTCTCTCAGGTTTGACATCTGTCAGAGGGAGAATAATAATGAGCTCAACCTGGAACAGTGAAAAGAGCACTGGCTCTGAAGTCAAAAGACCTAGGTTCAAATCCTATCTTTGCTTTCTCCCCATATGACCTTGAGTAAGTCAATTAAACTCCCTGGACCTCAGTTTTGTTGATTGTATAACAAAGGGCTTGGAGTGGATGTCTTCTGAGACCTCTTCTAACTCTAGATCTATAATCCTCTGTGTATGCTGAATGTTTCACAGGGAAAAAAATAATTACTGCTCATATTTTATTAAAAAGTACTTACCCTTACAAAGCATTTTTGTTGCATTATCATATATAGTGCTCATCACAACCTTGCGAACTAAATTACTGTTCTCATTCTCATTTTGCAGGTAGAAACCTGAAGGTTGGATAGGTTAAATGAGCAATAAGTATCTGAGGCAAGATTTTACCCCGGTCTGCCTAATTCCAAGTCTACACTGTAACTACCTAACAACCTCTACTATCCAATGATCATGTGAAAGTGTTTTATACATCACGAAAATTAGATAGATAGGCATGTGATTGGTGGACAGATAGAGATGATAGCACAGTAGACAGAAAACTAGAGAGGTGATAGAAGTAGATAGATGATGGATAGATGGATAGATAGGTAGATAGATAGATAGATAGATAGATAGATAGATAGATAGATAGATAGATAGATAGATATAGACAGATAGACAGACAGACACAGACAGGTGATAGATGGAGAGATCGATCCATAAAGAGAGAGAAAAAAACTCCATTATTATTACCATGTACTTGCTTACAAGCTGTTCAGTTGCTCTCCAGTTATGGTATGTTTCTTGTTCATGGCTATACAACTCACCTCCTCAGCTGTATTATCCATACCATCAGGGCAAAAGATTATTCCTTCTACTTCCTTTATTTCCTCAGAAGCACTTCTGAACATAGGACTGGACATGCAGCAGACTCTCAATAAATGCTTGCTAAAAGTATGAACCATTATCCAGTGGGACATTCAAATGAACTTCACTTCATTGCCATCCTAAAAATCTAGGCTGAAAAGACAATTACTCTTTCAGGTTTGAAATAATCAAGTTAATTAACAGAGGTCATGTATGATGAATATCTTTGTGGATTCAATTTCTGTTCTGCTCAAATATGAAGTATATAGCCTTTTAAACTCAAAACTATTTTTATTTTCTCATATCTGTCTTTTGTGCACATAGACTTTGTATAAGAACTGCTCATGTGAATGCCTTGTTTGCCCTATTTAGCTTCTTGAGGACAGAATTTTATTTATTAAGGTCTTATTTTTCTTTGTATCTCCCCCAGCAACATACACAGTGCCTTACATATAGCAGATGCTTAAGAAATATTTTTAAAGGAATAAACATTCTTAGGTGTTATCATTGCAGCTCTTCCAAACTTATATACAGTCTTCTATTGCTCTTATCTCTCCCCGTAGTATGGTGAGTGACCTGAAATTGATGTTGAATAAAAAAGGCAGTTTGAACAGTGTTAACTTGTTTGGGGGAAGGAAGGAAAGGAGAAGAGTCTTTTCCTGTTATTTTGGTCTATAAATGTGAACAAGAGAGTGGTCAAAGGGAAATAGCTCAAAGAACCAGCATCAGTATACTCTGGAAGAAGCTATCTCAAGGACAGGCAGTACTGATGTATATGCCCAATTTGTTGCATCATCATCACCATCATCATCATCATTGTAAGAATTTGTATACTGTTATAAGGTTTGGAAAGCACTTCACATGTTATCTCATTTGACTTTCACAACCACCTTATGAGGAAGATATTATTATTATTATTATTATTATCCTCACCTTTTCAATGAGGAAACTGGGGAACGGAGAGGTTAAATGACTTCTAGGGTCATACAACTAGTAAGTTGTATTCATAGCCCTAAGTAAATAAAACAAAGCAAATTCAGTCTTTAAGTTTTGCTTATACGAGAAAATCTTATCCATTTTAAAAATTCCAGTTGGGATTATTAAGGAGGGAGGTTTATAATAGGCATAAAGTATGAAGGCAGTCAGTCAAAAAACATTTACTAAGCAACCACTATGTGCCAGGCACTCTGCTAATCTCCAGGTATACAAAAAAAAAAAAGAGGTCAAAAGACACCCTGCCCTTGAAAAAGAGCACAAATCTAATGGGGGAGGTAATATGCAAACACCTATGTACAAAGAAACTATATAAAGGATAAATAGGAAATAATCAACAAAGGGAAGGCACAAGAATTAAGAGGGGTTAGGGAAGGCTAATTTGAGAAAACAAATTTCTTATGGTAGCTAGGTGGTACAGTGGATAGAGTGCTAGGCCTAGAGTAAGGAAGATTCGTTGTCCTGATTTCAAATATGGCCTCAGAAACTTTTTAGATGTGGGACTTTGGGCAGGTCACTTAACCCTGTTTGCCTCAGTTTCCTCAACTATAAAATGAGCTGGATGGGGAAATGACAAACCACTCCAGTATCTTTGTCAAGAAAATCTCAAATGGAGTCACAAAGAGTCCTACATGACTGAAAATGACTGAACAACAATAACAACAAAGGAAAGTCTTCCAGCAGAAGATGGAATTTTAGCTGAGACTTGAAGGAAGCCAAGAGGCACAGATGAGAAGGGAAAGCTTTCCACGCATAAGAGATAGCTTGTGAAAATGCCTGGAGTTGGGAGATGAAATGTCTTGTTCGAGGAAAAACAGAAAACCATTATCACTGGAGCAAAGATTATTTGGGAGTACAAGTGGGATGTTAGGTGGAAAAAACTGGAAAAGTAGAGAGGCTATTAGATTGTAAAGGGCTTTGAATGTCAAATAGAGTATTTTGTATTTGATTCTGGAGGTGACAGAACTGTTGGATTTTGTTGATTGGGAGTGATGACATTATTAGACTTGCTTTTTAGGAGAATCTCTTGGCAAACTGAGTAATGGATGGACTGGAGTGGGAAAAGACTTATGACAAGCAGAACAACTAGCAGGCTATTGCAATAGTCCAGACATAGGGAGAAGAGGGCTTGCACCAGAGTGGTAGCAGTGTCAGAGGAAAGAATTAGGAATGTTTGAGAAATGTTACACATGTAAATTAGACAAGTTTTGGCAACAGACTAGATATAGGGGTTGAGAGAAAGTTAGGAGTTGAAGATGATACCTAGCCTGCAAGTCTAGGGGATTGTAATGTTGGTGGTACTTACCTTTGACAGTAGTAAAGAAGTTTGAAAAGGGAGTGTTTAGGGGAACGGATGACGAGTTCAGTACAAAGGATGTAGAGTTTAAGATGTCTACAATTCACGAAGGCTGAAATGTGGAGGTCAGCAGAGAGGTTAGGGCTAGAGAGGTAGATTTGAGAATCATCAGCACAAAGATGATAATTGAATCCATGGGAACTGATAAGATTACCAAGTGAAATAGTACAGAGGGAGAAGAGGAGATTGAGGACAGAACCCAAGGTTAGCAGACATGACCTGGATGAAGATCCAGCAAAAAAGACTTAGAATGTATAGTGTGATAGGTAGGAGGGAAACAAGGAGAGAGTAACTCCTAAAAACCAAGAGAAGGGAGAATATAAAGAAAAGGGTGATCGACAATGTCAAAGGAGTGATAAGGTGGAGTAGGACCAAGACTGATTAAATCTTGTAGGATGATGGAGTTTTGGGGGGGTTTTTTTAGGCAATTGGTGTTGAGTGACTTGCCCAAGGTCACACAGCTAATAAGTGTCAAGTGTTTGGTCTGAGGTTGGATTTGAACTCAGGTCCTCCTGACTTCAGGGCCAGTGCTCTATCTACTGCCCCACCTAGCTGCCCCCCTGAAGTTTTTCCAGTGATGGGCTTCATGGAGCATGGTGAAGAAATCAGAGAAATCCCAAAGTGGAAATGAGAAGTGAGAGGAAAAAGAACGGAAGTGCCTATTATAAATGATCTCAAAGAATTTAGCCACAAAAGGCAGGAGATAAAATGATCCTTAAGAGGAATGCATAATCAAATGAGGATTTTTTAATGATGGAAGAGACATAGGGGGCAGCTAGGTGGTGCAGTGGATAGAACACCGGCCCTGGATTCAGGAGGACCTGAGTTCAAATCCTGTCTCAGACACATAATACTTACTAGCTGTGTGACCCTGGGCAAGTCACTTAACCCCATTGCCTAGCCAAAAAAAAAAAATGATGGAAGAGACATGGGCATGTTTGTAGGCAGTAGGGAAGCAGCTAGTAGTAGGTCCTTCTATGATGTACTAAGAATGCAGAAAGTTCATGCTAATATCTATTTAATACATTTCTGAAGTGAAGGGAGGGGGATATTTTTTTCAAGGTTATAATCACATTCTCCTTAGTATTCTAACATCATATTTTACTTATTGTCATGCGTAGCTGTTACCAAATGTTTCAATCTAGGCCCGTAGGCTACAACATAGTACTTCAGATACATAAGCAACTAAGAAAGAAAATGTGAAAAGGGGTCCACTTTCCAAGTGATATACCATTGCTAAGACCCAAATGTCTTCAATATATAAAAGTTTAGAGGCAGCAGTCACCATATGTTGAAGGAAAATAATAATTAAAGCAATACCAGTCTTTGCTGCAGATCTCTCAATTCTTCTTTTTTTGTTAATACAACACTTACGACCTGTTGAAAATTTGTTTCCAATATGTCCTAAATATGAGACATCCTAAATTTTAGAATTCAGCAGTAGTATTGATACCATTAAGCATTCCTTTCTTCTTTCTTTTCCATTTAATGACCAAACTCTTCCAATAGTCCACATAAACTTTCTCAATTTCTTTTATCACTTTCTTTTTTGATTCTCAATCTTTCACAATTTGAAAGATCTCATCATTCTACTGAAACGTCCTTCACTAAGGTCACCAGCCTTCTTATTTCCCACCACACCCCCACCTCCAAACAACCCCTGGTCAAATCTTAGGACTGATTCATATTATCTTGTATGGATATCTCTGAAACTTTAAAATTATGACAGTGACTATGCCATTTTAACAGTCATAGTAGATAAGAGAGGAATGAT